GATAAAATATTTATTTTTGATATTTTTGAAATTTTCGCATTTACTGCATTAATTTTTTATGGCACTGATGATTGGTCGATGCAAACAGGTTTGATAATTTCCTTTTCAAAAAAATAATGTCCTACTCTTTCGATTAATTTTGTTTTTTTTAAACAAAATTTATTTATCAAATTATTTAAATTTGTGTTTGAATATTTTACAAATAGGGTTATTCAACCCACAAACAAATTTCGATGAAACGTGTGGTAATTCCCAAAAAAAGATTAGTCAGAATTAAAGTTATAAAAATAAAGGAAATTGCATTCTAAACATTAGATATAAAAAAAAAGATTAAAAATTTGTGCAGAAATAATATTGTGCAACATTAAAAAAATTGTATTTAAATATGCTTTCCCTCACATTAAATTTTGACTCCAAATGCTTCTGTATTAATTTGAGGCATAAATTTTCCTCCTTTTTGTTTTAAAGAAAAGATTGTTAATTAATTTAAAAGATGTCTTACAATATTATAAGGGCTGAAATTGTTAATCAAAAATATGGATTATGTCCTGATTGCAATCAATCAAATACTTAGTATAATTGGTATTAAAATTGCAATTCTAGAAAATTTCAACAAAAATTTTTATAATGGACTAGTGGGAATAGGCTTATCAATAAATTTGTTCAAGATAGACAATTGAAAGCAAAAAGATCAGTAGAATTTATAGAATAGATACCTTATGAAATTTTTAGAAATATACAACACCTTTCTAAAGGTAGGTTTAGTACTATTTATAAAGCTATTTGTTTATATATATACTCTATATATTTGACTAATAATGGCAAGAGAAGTTTCTATCTGCTTAAAGATGAAGATTATATAAGTAAATCTATTATATCACCTCTTAATGATAATGATAAAATTGGAAATATGTTATATTAAATGTTTAAACAATTCATCAAACATTAATGAAGATTTTTTAAATAAGGTAAATTAACTTATTTTTTATAATCTAATAAAGTAATATTAGACTATTATTTTTTATTTTTATTAATTTGTTATTTTAGTAGAAATATCATTTAGAATTTGTATATTCACCTGAATAACAATGGTTATTACCAATTAGAATATTTAAAATAATACAAGATTTTGAAATTTTAAATTATATAGTTGTATTATAGAAAATAGATCAAGGCAGTTTGTGATCTAATTTATTGATAAAAAAATATACCCTACATAATAAATATATTTAATATTATAAGAATGCTTTATGCTTTATATATATGTAATTTAGTTTATAGTAATCTCTATAATAAAAAAATACTTTTAAGAAGTGTATATATTATATTTATTAGTGATTTTAAATTAAGAAAGCCAGCTAATGAATTTAACAAATTGAATCAAATTTATAAAGTAATTTCTTATATGATACCTGAAGTTTTATATGGTAAACTATATATAAAAGTTGCTAATATATATTCTTTTAGTATTATAATGTGAAAAATGACTTCTGATATTCCTGCTTTAATACTATAATTATAATTTTAGATATTTATAAAGGTAAAAGACCAGAAGTTGTTAAAAGTACTATATTTGAATATGCAGAATTAATGAAAGATGTTAAAATCTAAATGTTATTAATAGATATTTGCTAAAGAATTAGTATTTATGAATTTTTAGAAAGAAATTTTATATCAGATAATATAAATTTTCAAAATAACAATTTTTTTTATATAATTTAGTAATTTTTATATTTTTATTTTAGAAAATAAATAAATCATTAAAAATTATTCATTGACTTGTTATACAAATAGAAATTTCAATTATTTGATAAAATTAAATGAAATGTTAAGTAAAGATTTATATAGGTAATTATTATGATATATAATTATTATTTATTTTTATAATACTAAAATCTATTTTTTTATTCATTTATATAAAAATATGCAATTATGGTAAATATAATGCATATATTATTACTAATAATAACCTTTAAATCTTAAATATTATTACTAATAGCTGTTTTATTTTTGCGCTTTAATATTTAGTATTTTACTATACTGTAGATACTATATTAGATATCTCTGTTAAATTAAATACTTCTGCTGAGCTAATATATTTATTATATTTTTCATATTAATTAATTTAGTTATATTTATTATTATAATCAATAATCAATAATTTTATACACAAGTAATTATCCTGTTGAATAGCAAGTTTTGAATTAAAATAAGTCAAGCCTTAAAATCTTAAATAAATAATTTTATTATAAAAATTCTTCATATTTTTATTTAGATTTATTTATATTATATAATAAAATTTTATTATTTTATATAAGTTAAGAATAATTAGGTTAATCACAGCTTATCTTTTTGTATACTGTATTTACCAGTAATATTCTATTTGATTAAAAAGAGAAAGAGACATATTTATAAAACTCTTATTCCTAATGTAAAAATAAAGTAATGATATCAATATATTATTATCTGATAAAACTTCTTAGATATAAGAAATTTCTAATATTTTTTATCTTAGTAATTCAGAATATATAACAAAAATCCTATTATAAGTAACAATTTAATAAAATCTAAACTTTATTTATAGAGAAATGATATATATGACAAAAATAATATGAAATACATACTTACATAAATACTAATGATTATAATTTCATCTTTAATAATTTTTATGTATTTATATTATTCTTGTTACACATCTTTCAACTGCTTTTTATATAATCACAGTTGCAATAATTCTCTTAAAGACTTATCCTATATATACTTTTTTTAATAAGTTATTAATGATTTATTTTTTCTTATAATGTATCGCATTTATTTGCAATTACAAAATTAATTTATTGTAAATTCAAATTGTTATTTTTCAATCAAAAATTATTGATGATAAGACACTTTTCACATTTTTGTTCTATTATTTTTAAAAGATTTACTTGCTTCTAAATGTCTTATAAGTTAAGATCCCTTAAATATTTTACTTATATGTAATAAATAATCTTTGATGTTTATCTATAATATTATTTTCAAAAAAGTAAAAAATTATATATTTACAATTCAACAGATATTTAGTTTACTATTTTTTTAAATTGCAAAGTAATAACTTAAAGCTATATAAATAATAATTTTGTTTTGTTATTAGATAGAATTTTAATCATAGTTAATTTTGATTAAAGAAAGCATTATTAATATGATAAAAAATTCAAGTTTAATTTACTATTTTAGAAAATTTAATATTGATAATAAATTGAATAAGTTAAAGACTTTAAAGATTAATTCTCTATGGAAAAGCAAATTATAATAATATATTAATTGATCTTGATATTTATCTCCTCATATCCTTTATAATAATATATAATATAAATATTTAAAACTAGAATTATAAATCTTAAAAATACACATCTTAAAATTTTAACTTACTTAAGTAATGACTTATTTGAAGAAGAATATGATCATTTATAATAAAAATCTTCTATATAATTTTTATTAGAACTCTTTAGTAATAAGAATGACTGAAATATTTTACTTGCCTGTTAAATAAAAGCTTCTATCATAAAAAATTCAATTTTAAAATATTTTAAAATATATAGGAGGTTTGCTATTAAAATTGAGTTACAAATATAGTAAAACATATGATTTGAATATAATTTAATAGTAATCTTACATATAGACCTTTGCAATAAAAAAGGGAGAAACTACTAAAAAAAATTATGCCAAATATGATTTTAGACTAAAATACATTCAAATTTAGCATTAACATTTTTTTCCAGTAATTCTAATAAGAAAAGAAATTATTTTTAAATATGGAGAATAGAAGCATTAATTTTCATATGCATATAACACATTTATATTAGGGTCACAAAACTTCACTAGAACTGAAATAGTTTAATTAATATAACTTCAATATTTTTTTATTTATTTAAAAAAATTAGAGAATCTAAAAATAATTTATATCTAAATAATCACAAAATTAACTATTAATTGGATTGAGAATTTTCACATATAAACTGATATATATTAGAAATTTAATTAATTTCTTTATAAATATTTTATATCATCACTAAATAAAAATTTATTTATTTTTATTATGATATAACAAAATAAATATTGAATGCTATCATAAATATATCTAAATTATGAAAAGAAGAATTGAATTTTAATAATAAAATTGTAATATATTGTATATTTGGTTGTATAGATAAACTTGTTTTAAAATAATTTGAAATTACTGATAATATATTTGGCAACTTCAAATATGATAAGATATTATCATCACTTTTTTTAAGTTCGTAGTAAATATGAGAAATGGTAATATAAAATATTCATATGATCGTAGTCGGATTTGCCAGGTATTACGCAAACCTAAACAGATAGTATTGTTTTTTTTTAATGCATTAAAACTATACATGTATGGTTTTCATGACAAATAGTCCATACTATACATACATTTAATACCATATTATATCAGATTTGCGCGAATATCCTATGAAAGAATTCAGAGCTGAAGAAAGCATAAATCGGCTTCACGCTATTCACAATAAAAGAAAACATTAGTTTAAACGTTTCAGTCCATTCATTATTAATCGGAGATTTTTATACAAGAAAGTGAATCTCTATATTTGGGATGATTACATCTTTTAAACAACTTGTAATGTGTTGGTAAGTTTTACCCAAACATCTAGCGATTGGAAAGTTTGGAATTCTTTTGATGCTTCTAAAATGTTCAACCAATGTAACGTCTCGATTAAGTATGTCAGATGGTGGTTCAAGCTCTTTCTATATTTTCTCAATATAATCAGCGAACTTATTAAATGTTGTTTCATTGACTGGAATGAAGTTAGCCATCAGTTTTTCCGTTTCCGACAAATACGGTTCGAAATATAAAGTATTTAATTGTGAAATCTATAGACATCGTTAGATTATGAAAGTAGGTTATGAGGTCGGCCAAATTTCGAATGAAAACAAGGAGGCTTACCTTGAAAAAACACTCTCATTTCTAAATATGCTATTTAGGAAGCAAGCGTTGGTGTCATTGGATCTTTAGAGAATATAACTTCTTCAAAGACATAAACATAGGACTCTTTCAAAAGGACATTAAATTTTGTGAGAAATCTTAGGCACTTATATCGGCAAACTGAAGGTGGTAATAGATACCTGTACGAAGCTGGTTTAAATTTGAATTCAATGTTGGCAAATAAGAAAAAGGCGAACTATGTTTTGTCTTTTTTTTTTGTAAATACTCTGATCACTTAAACCTCCAACTAAAATTATTGCCGAATAAGCTTCCCTAGTCGTCCTCCATTTCAAATTTGATGAAATGTTCTTTCAACGGTGAAAAGTTTATAATTTTTCAACAGGATAGACATCGATCTTTTTGACTTTATTAACTTTTTATGCAAAAAGAATAAGTATTTAAAACATTGATATTAATAACGATGTGATATAAGTTGTAGTTGCCTATTTTCCAATAATTATTTAGTAATTTGCGTAAGTTCATCAGTAGGTTATTTTAAAAACGCTCGGAAAATATTCACATCATCAATGTCTAATCGATTGAATATATTTCCTTATCATATTTCTTGATTTTATTTTTATTCAGTTTTTACGATCGCATTGGATGCTACATCATTCCATTATTCATTATTTTATTTTCAACTTTATTGTTATAATTTTTTTTTTTTATACAAATTATAAAAATTATTATTTTTTGTAGATAATGAATTAATTTCTTCAAATATTAATTGATTAATTCAAACATATAGATAATAGACTGTATTTTAAACCTTAATTATAGAAAGAAGGATAGTTAATTGTCTTTTCATTATATATAAAAATTTCGTTCAAAGCAGCAGGAAAATTAAATAAAAAAAAAACAGTTAAAAAAAAAAAAAGATAAAATATTAGTTAAAATAAATTGCTTATGTATGTAGTGAAAATATGTCTCCAATGGTAGATCACATGTTATTCAGATAAAGACTTAAAAAAAAGGTTGGATTATCGCTATTGATGCTCTTAACAAGATTCTCATCTAAACCAATATGCGCGAGAATACAATAAGCTTTGAAGGTACTCTTTCCTGATACCGCAAAATTGCCAGTACATCTTAATGGAGCTTGGGTCCAAGACTCAGATCGAGAAATACTATTGTTCTGCTTGATTTCATGCCAAAATTTTTTTGCAAGTTTTTAATAGAAGTCGTCAGATTCAACAATAAAAAATTATAAAATGAAAATAATAAGTAAAAAATTTAAGATAAAAATAAAAAAAAAATAATAATAATAAGTAAATTCCGAAATTTAAATGCTAATAATAAATGCAGCGAAATTAAATGTTGATTTAAATATTATGGTTCAGTTAAAAACAATTTTTATTAGTATGCAAAGGAAGTGTATTTACGAAATTGCAAAAAAAAAAAAAAAAAAAAAAATACCATATCGTGATTGGTTGTCTGAGTGTCTGAACATTTTAGACACTCGAAGATCAGTCACAACACCGGCACCATAACCATAATCATTACCATAATATGTATTATTGCTAATCTTTAAATTTATAGTATTATCAGGTCAGAATTTCTTTTTGATTATAATTATTAGGAGTTTTAGATATTTAATTAAAAATATAAATAATTAAATCTAAATAAATTGAGGTTTTAAAAATGGTATAAATTTTGATTTTATTTTTTTAAAAAATAATTACCATCCAGTCAATAAAGATTGATCCTAACTCTTATTAAAAAAATTCAACCAATACCTTTCGTACGCAAATAAATCATAATTACTTGATTATAGAATGAGACTTTGGTGGTTAATACGATCTGCAGATTTGCAGAAATATTATTAAGAATATTTTTTAATTCTAAAGATAATTAAGAATTGTCTACTGTTCTAACCATCAGATTTCTGACCAGAATATGTCTTTCAATAAGTTCTAACATCATGAATTTAAATTACAATAAAATTAATTGCGATGTTGTTGTTATTTTATAGCAAGGCAAGGATAATAGAAAAAGATAATTTGCATATTTAATTTCTCCAATTACAGTTTGATTTACACACAGTATATAGTGACTGTAAAGGTTTGATATTATTTTGTAGAATTGATATAAAATATGCGTCGATCTCGTGATCAGTAAAGGTTTTTATATGAATGTAATGAATGTT